AGACCTCCTGCTTCCTCATGTGATAGGCTGAGTTGATGGTATTCCTGTTGACCTACAAGAAGCTTTGGAGAGTGAATAAATTTGATGGGGCAGATACTGAATTTGGTGTCAAACGTGGAGATTCTGTTTGTGGACCATTCAGGAGCCACATCTAAAAGGTATTTGGAAACTTGGGTCTGGAGTTCTAGAGCAAGATTTTGACTAGAGATGCACATGTGCCTGTTATGAGTCTGGTAATAGATGAGCGGAGCCAGTTGCCCATATTAGGTGGTCCAGAAAGGCCAGAGTGAGATGGAGGAAATTGAGAGTGAGGATAGAGCCCCAAAAGGGCAGGGGAAGAGAAATCTGCAATGGAACTCAGAAAGAATTGATAGAAAAGTGAACAAAATTCCAGAAAATGCCATCTCAGGATCCCCAAGAAGGGAAAGTTGCCACAGAGAGGTCCAGATAAAGGCTGAGTGTTCTTCAGCTGACTTCCAGGAGCTGCAAGCCCTTAGGTGTGTGTCAGGTCAGACCAGTCCCTGTGTCTCTGCCGTCACAGGTGTTTACCGTAGTCGGAACTGTCTTCCTGTTATCCAGCTGCCTAACAGCTGGATGCTTGTGTTCACATGAGATAATCCATTGCAGAAGGGCAGGAGCTGGGTGTAAATTGACTGGCTGTGTAATAGACACAGCATTCCTTCTGTGGGTAGCAACATTAATATCAGTGCCCCAAGCTGGGCTTGAAGACATCACTGGTGCCCGCATAGTTTGATGAAAGCTGTTTTCTCAATCTTTTCTCTAGACTTAAGTTCATTATCCGTGGATGTCCTTCTAGTCATCAAGGAGGACTTTGTGCTCCTATCATTTGTGATTCTTGGGTTTGGGGATATGCAAAAAGATGGCCTTGTAAAAGAAGGTTGGAATTTTCCAAATGACTATATGGTTAGAGCCTTTTCCTTTCTTTATATCTTTTGACTCTTTCACTGAGAAAGTATCAGGTAGATCCATTGAATACCCATAATGAGTTTGTTCACAGAGACAGGAACAATATTCAAGTGGTAGAAAAATAGAGAAAGAAAACCCAAGCTAACTGACTCCAGTTTTACATGAAATAGTATTAGGGGCAGGTGAGGCCAGATGGTTTTGTAATAAGAATATGATCCTGTGGAAGGAATATGAAGATAAATGATGGTGGCTTCAAAGAAAATATGCAGCCGCAGTCAAGGTTTGGTTGCAGGACCGGGCTCTGATGGGTCACATCCTGCTCCTCTTCTGTGCCCACTGTGTGCTGTCCTTGTTCTCCACTTGGCTGTCTCAGGGGATGTTCTTTTCATACCCCTTGAGCCCTCCAGGACCGTGAGGAGGAAGGGAGGAGCAGAAAGCTCTGCATCCAGGTCTGGAAGTGGGCACTCCAGGGCTGGAGACAGAAGTGGGTGGAGGGGAAGGAGGATTCTGCTTCCAGGCTGCACCAGGAGCTGGGGCATTCAGTTCTTACCACACTCATAACACTCACATGTACATCTCTAGTCTAAAGAACAGGATCCTTTGAGGAGACCCAAGAGTTTGGGGCTCACTGTGTGGTGAGTTTTGTGAGCTTCAGAGGCCTGGCTGGAAGTAGATGATTTTGATTACCTTATTTCAGTAAGAAAATATCTTGTGAGTTGGAAGCAGCTATGTTACAAAACTTTTTTTTTTTAAAAAGCTTTTCTTTTCTTTCTTTTTTTTTTTAATGTGACAGGGAGAGTTATAGACACAGAGAGAGACAGGGAGAAGTAAGCAGCTTTTCTTTTCCTAGAGCAGTTTTAGGTATGCAGCAAAACTGAGCAGAAAGTATGACGGCCCTGACCCAACACACAGCCTTTCCCACTCTGAGCCTCTTGCTGCTAGAAACCTGTGCATATGGGTTCATAAGCTGGGGCTACCCAAGGCAGCCTCTGATTTTAACTTTGTCTTGGAAAATTAGTCACTGATGAACTTCTCCTTATTGTCTAGCAAGAAGCAAGACTGGCCTGTAAGAGCCTTCAGCGTGTGTGTGTGCTGTTTCTGCTTTGTGTTAATCAAAACTGAAGTATAGTGTGGCATTTCCCTCTTCTTAACTTTTAAAAATGGTTTAGACTCTAGCTGCTGTCTTTTTTTTTTTTTTTAAAAAAAGGATCTATTTTATTTGTTTATTTGAAAGGCAGAGTTACAGAGAGGCAGAGGCAGAGGCAGAGAGAGAGAGAGAGAGAGAAAGTCTTCTATCCATTGGTTCGCTCTCCAGATGCTGCAACAGCCAGAGTTGCACCAAGCTGAAGCCAGGAGCCAGGAGCTTCTTCTGGGTCTCCCACGCAGGTGCAGGGGCCCAAGGACTTGGGCCATCTTCTGATTTCCCAGGCCATAGCAGAGAGCTGGATTGGAAGTGGAGCAGCCAGGACTTGAACCGGTGTCCATATGGGATGCCCAGGCACTGCAGGCAGCGTCTTTACCTGCTGCACCATAGTGCCACCCCCTAGTCACTGTCTTTTGCAAAGGGGGTAGGACCTTGTGGGAAAACACTCTATTTTTTGTAACCAAAGACCCTGAAGCCCAGCTGTGTAGCTGACTTTGAACTTCCCATCCTGAGATAGTATTAATTTCTGAGTTACTGCCAGGCGCTGTTTTCTGTTTCTGTTTTGGGTTTGCACATTTTCTTTCCAGAGCTCCCTTGTAGCCCATGACCTGCATTTGGGAGCAGTAGGAAGGTGAGGTCTGTGAGCTGAGGCCAAGACCAAACCTGGCTGGAGACAAAGCTGCCCCCTTGGCTCCTGGGTATCCTCTTCTGGCTGAGGGCCAGTGACCCCAGAAATCTTCATATTGTGTCTGAAAAAGAGAGACAGAAAAGTAGCTGTCAGAAAACTGCTTAGGGAGAAACATGGGGCAGGTTGGAAACCAGTGTTTCCTTTTGGTTTAAATGCAGACTCACAGAAGGAAACTGAAATACAGACTGGCCCAATTCAGACTGGCACAGCAGAGAGGATAGAAGTTGAATGGATTGAGTATGATGAAGTTTTAGCTTTATAATTTATTTTTATTTATTTTTTAAAAAAGATGTATTTATTTATTTGAAAGGTATAGTTCCAGAGAGGCAGAGGCAGAGAGAGAGAGAGAGAGAAAGAGAGAGAGAGAGAAAGTCTTCATCTGCTGGTTCACTCCCCAAATGGTTGCTGTGGCCAGAGCTGGACCAATCTGAAGCCAGGAGCCAGGAGCTTCCTCTGGATCTTCCACATGATTCCGGGGCCCAAGTACCTGGGCCATCTTCCATCGCTTTCCTAGGCCATAGCAGTGAGCTGGTTTGGAAGTGGAGCAGCATGGACGTGAACCAGTGTTCATATGGGATGCTGGTGCTCTTACGGGATACTGGCACTTCAGGAAGCAGTTTTACCCACTACACCACAGCACTGGCCCCTAGCTTTTTTATTTTTTAAGATTGATTGATTGATTGATGAGAGTTAGAATGACAGAGAGAGTGAGAGATAGAGACAGAGACAGCCAAAGAGAGATCTGCTATCCGTTAGTTCACTCCCCAAATTCCTGCAACAACTGGGGCTGGGCCAGGCTGAATCCAGGAGGAAGGAACTCCATCTGGGTCTCTCACAGAAATAGTAGGAAGCCAAGTAACTTGGGCCATGATCTGCTGCCTCCCAGATGCATCAGCAGGAAGCTGGAGTGGAAATGGAAGTGGGATTCGTTCCCAGGCCCTCGGATATGGGTAAGGACATCTCAAATGGCAGGTCAGCCCAGGGCAGCACAACACCTGCCCCCTAGCTCTCTTACTCCTGCCCTTCCTCTTTCTGTCATGGGATTCTGAACCTCCTGTTATCTGCTGATTGCTCAAGAACTGGTGTGGGGGTGGGAGGTTGGTAGAAAGAGCAGGGACTTTGGAGTCAGCATAGCTAAGAGCCCTCTTTACCACTGGGAAGAGTGCACGCTATTTCCTGGGTGCATGGGAGCTCTGTTGACACAGCACTCATGGAAAATGGTGGCATCCACACAGCACATTGAAGTAATGCGTGAAGCTAATCCCAGCAGATGGAATCCATCCCAGGCGCTCCGCCGGCTCCTGCCCCCGCTGCCAACCTGGCCTCCCCAGCAGCATGCAGCCGGGGCACTCTTGTTGGGGAGCTCTGATACGTGTGCTTGTTTGTTGTTTGTCTCCTCCAACACAGCACAAGCACATGACAGCAGAGGCTGCCTCTGTTTTGTCCACTGCAGTGCCCTCAGCTATCAGAATAGTGCCAGGACATTGAGGTCTCTGTTAAGATGTTTGGTGATGGATGAATCTGAGTTTACAATCTCATCTGATTCTGGCCCTCTGTACACTGAATACCTTCCTGAGACTATTGAGTAGGCCTGGCTAGAGGATGCATGACACAGTGTAACTGTCTGTCACCATCCCTGGCACACGGTGGCTTTTCTCCATTTTTCTCCTGAAGTAACTTCAGAGTCATTGCAAGGGAACCCATGCAGAATTGTGAACTTACTGGAAAACTTAATGTATAGCCTAAGGCCTTTCTATTGAGGCCTCGTTGTGAAAAGATATTTAGGGGAAAAGAACTTAAAGGATTCTTTGGGGGCCAGCATTGTGATGTAGTGGGTAAAGCTGCCGTTTGTGATGCCAGCATCCCATACAAGTGCTTGGTTTGTATCCCAGCTGCTCCAGTCCCTGTCCAGTTCCTTGCTAATGGCCTGGGAAAAGCAGTGGAAGATGGTCCAAGTGTTTGGGCTTCTGCAGTCCACACGGGAGACCAGATGAGGCTCCTGACTTTGGCTTAGCCCAGCCCCAGCTGTTGTGGCTGTCTGGGGAGTGAACCAGCAGATGGAAGATCTCTCTCTCTCTCTCTCTCTCTGTGTGTGTGTGTGTGTGTCCCTCTCTATAACTGACTTTCAAACAAATAAAATCTTTTAAGAAAAAAAAAGATTCTTTGGTTCCTGCCTGAATCCTGTTGGGTTCACAGCTCCGTTCTGATTTGCATGACTGAGTTCACCCTTTGATTTTTCAGGCACCTGCTTTTGAGGAACTGAAATTCTGTGTAAGTATTGAGGGAGCAGGATGGCGGCAGGTGTTAATATTCTTCCTGTTGAGAGAAGGAGGACAAAGGGGAAACCCATTTCGTGCTGCTATTCCCCCAAACAGCTGTGTGTTACTGGACATTGAGCTCATTTACATGATGCTTTCTAACATAAGTTGCTTTCTGGGGCTGAGTGTGATACGTTTGGGAGTCAGTTAACATGAGGAAGTGGGGGGAGGAGCTTTTAGTGATGTGGAGCAGCCCTGGTGGAACTGCTGCGTGCAGTGTTGGGAGAAGGCTGACAGTCCGTCCATGTGTGTGACACTGACCATGCCCCGAGACTTCCCGGCAGAGCAGATCTGGAGTGCTGTTAAGAAGCTCCAACTTCTCAATTTAAGCCACATGCTCTCCCTCTGATCTGGGGCCTGAATATATTTAGTCTTGGACTTTGCACAGCAGCTAATGTAAGTAGAGTTCTCTCAGCGAGAGACCCTCCGTTGAGTCCTGGTTTCATGGAAGCCAGGGTGCTGGGTTGTTCCTCTGTGCTGTTCAATCAGCACTCTTAACACCAGCTTTCTGGAGATTTGGGCATGTGAATGGAGCCCTTTCCATAATATCTTATCATTATTTTGGCATTTTCAATAGGACTTTGGGAGGGAACATTTAGAAGACTGTGTCCAAATCTCTGTCTTCCCTGGAAGTCATATTTTTAATCATTTATTAAGTTATTAAGGTTTATTTGAGTTATTTGAAAGGCAGAATTACAGAGAAAGAGGGCGGGGCAGGGCAATGGGAAAGATATCTTCCATCTGATGATTCACTCCCTCAGTGGCTGCAATGGCCAGAGCTGGGCCTGGACCAAAGCCAGGACCCATCTGGGTCTCCAGCGTGGGTGGTAGGATCCCAGGCACTCAGGCCATCTTTTGCTGCTTTTCCCAGGCAGATTAGCAGGGAGTGCGGATTGGAAATGGAGCAGCTAGGACTTGAACTGGCACTCATATGGGATGTCAGTGTTGAGGGGACAGAACTACACCATAATGCCAGCCCATAAAGTTTTATTTTAAGAAAAAAAAATCATTGTTGATAAGGAGGTTGAAGGTAAAAGAAAGAAAATCCTTAGCTATAGGGTCTAAAAAGTTTTGATGGGTTATAGTTGATGGTTCTTCTATATTGAACAAGACAGTTTACAGTTTTGGAGAACTTTTGATGTCTTTGGCCTTTCATGAAATGCCTTTCATGGAAAAGTTTGTTCTTTGGTATTTGCCAAATGAAAGCAAAATATCCTGGTCGGTAGATCTTTTTCCTTATTGCCCTTTTAAGAAACCATCAACTGAGCCAAATTTGCTTTTAGAAGGACCAAAGGCGGGACTGGCACTGTGGCGCAGCGGGTTAATACCCTGGCCTGAAGTGCCAGCATCCCATGTGGGCGCCGGTTAGAGACCCGGCTGCTCTACTTGCAATCCAACTCTCTGCTATGGTCTGGGAAGGCATTGGAAAATGGCCCAAGTGCTTGGGCCCCTGCACCCATGTGGGAGGCCTGGAAGAAGCTCCTGGCTCCTGGCTCCTGACTTCAGGTCGGCCAGCCATTGCGGCCAACTGGGGAGTGAACCATCGGATGGAAGATACCTTTGTCTCTCTCTCTCTCTTTTTGCCTCTCCTCTCTCTGTGTAACTCTGACTTTCAAATAAATAAATAAAAATCTTTTTTTTTTTTAAAAAGTGAACATCTTTAAAAAGAAAAACCAAAGGCAACAACCAGAAGAAATGAAAGAACAAAAAATATCAAGATGGCAAGCACTCTTCTGTCACTTGGCTTGAAGATACAGTAATTTAAACATGCAAGGGCCTGCTTTGTGTCATGAACCAGGAAGTCCAGAGGGGGGCATCCTCAACTAATGTAAATGTTGACAGTGCCGGTGGGGCTCAGGGTTTTCCCAACTTTCATCCCGCCATCTTTAGCAGGCAGACCGTGGTCCTCATGACTGTAGGATGCAGCTTCACCTCCAGCCTAGCATCAGCCTCCCTGCTGGAAAAAAGTGGAAGACTGAAGCAGGAAGGGGTAGCACTGTGTTATAAGAGCCATGGCTTCCTCTAAAGTCTCCGGTGGAATTTGTTTTAGGTTTCACTGGCCAGCCCTACCTGTAAGAGAGGCCAGGAAAAGTGCACGTTTTAGCTGGATACCTTGCTGCCCTGCACCAACTTGGTCTTTCTGGTGGTAAGGAGGAATAAAGGGGACGATAGATACTGAGTGGTCAAGTAGCAGTGGGGCGGTGTTGTGTGCCAATGAGTTAGGTCTCCTGCAATATCAGCATCCCATATTGGAGCACTGGATCTTGTCTTTGCTGCTCTGCTTCAGATCCAGCTGCCTGCCAACACACCTGGGAAAGTAGTGGAAGATGGCCCAAGTACTTAGGCCCCTGCCACCCCCAAGATAAAGTTTGTGGCTTCTGGCTTGGGCCTGGCCCACCCCCAGTCATTGTGGACATTTTGAGAGTGAACCAGCAGATAGAAGATGGATTTCTTTCTCACTCTCTCTCTATCCCCCATCCCCATCTCTTTGCCTTTTAAATAAAAATATAAATTTGTTTAAAAAAGGGTAGCCATATCTGCCAATGACATAGTACCAGTTTCCCAAACTTAAAGCATTCCCAAACTTAAACTGGTAGGCATCTGTGAATTGGATAAATACAGTGTCTTCATCTCACATGGGCAAGACAACAACTTTCCTTCTCCCTCTGCTCAGTATGCCGAACATGTCAGTTGTACTCTTTGGCACCCCTGGGCTGGGCTGCTCACCCCCTGATCTGTAACTGTGCCCGGAAAGTGAGTGGGCCTGAAGTCCCTTTTACTGGAGTGGAGAGTGGCAGAGGAACGGGCAGTGCATGTTTGGAAATCCAAGGGACTGATTGTGCTTTCTCAGGAAAAGCAGCCAGCCAACAATAATTACTGGGCCGCCTCTGCGTGCAGAACCTGGACTCCAGCCTCCTGGAATGATCACAAAGGCCAAGGAAGACTCAGCCCTGCCTGGGGAGCGCACGCCTAGCCCAGCCGACAGGACAAAGTCACGGGAGAGACACAGGATGTTCAGTGTGTGCTAACAATGAACAAAGTCCGTGGCGAATCAGACATGGAGGAGTTGGCTCTGACCACAGCTTCGTAAAGGTCTATTATTTGGTGGAAGGAAAGGCTGTGTAAAAGTGCTGTTTGGAGAGTCAGTGGGTTTGCCTGGTTGGAGCAATTTACTAACACTGGCCTGCAGCCTGGTGTGTTTTCTTTAGAAGAGCAGCCCAAGAGTCAACAGTGTCTATGGCCTCCTAGCTGTTTGCAGAGGGAGTATTAGGTTAGCCAGCGTTCCCTTTGCCTTTTCAATTCCAATCCTTTCTCCCTATCTCCCATCTCTAGTGTTGCCTGGTGGCCCTGATGTTTCCTGTCTGCCCTTGCTTCTCCTGTTTAACCTTCCTTCTTTGGGGTCCCAGCCAGTGTGCTCAGTCCTGGACCTGTGAGCTCAAAAAGTACTCTGGAGGGGGCATTGCACAGCCTTGTCTTTGTGCCATCTGGTGAAGGAGGCAAAAAATGAGGGCACCGATGTCTCAGGGCTTCTGCACCCCACAGTGGACCATGCTGACTGTCCTTGGCAGTGAGTCTTAGTCTGCTCAGGGTGCTGTAACTCTCACAGCTCTGGAGGCGGGAGTGCAAGATCCAGGTGCTGACCAATTCTGTTCCTGATGCAGGCTCTCTTCCCACCTTCATACTACGTGGAAAGACAGTGATCTCTTAACTCCGCTTCTTATTAAGCCACTAATCCCATCATGAAATTCCCACCCTCTTGCCCTCTCTAACCTAAATTAGATCCCAAAGAGCCTGTCTCCAGATACCGTTACATTGGGGGTTAGGATTTCAACGGAGGACTTCTGGGGACACAGTTCACTCCCTACCACTGGGGGTTCACCAGAGTTCGGTGAGGCTCCTGTGTGACAAATGATGGTGACCAGAGCAGTGTGCGTTCTACTGGAAGAAACCTGGGAGAGTTGAAATCCTGTAAATTGCAGGTTCTTAAGCTGGGTCCATGGGTACAAGGGAGTCTGAGAATCTCCAGAAATCTCCAGGGTAGTTTGTAGTGCCTGTGTGCATCTTCCATCATATTTCCAAATATACACGTGACCCAAACCATGTTAAGAACCACTGTCCTGGCAAGGGTGCCCCTGAAGTAGAGGCAGAGGGGGATGGAGTCTGTACACCTGTGCCCAGCACCAGTCGCCTCTGTGCACTGCCCAGGCCCTGCTGTGGTGCTGCTGTGCCCCTCGAAGCTTTCCAGAGCTCTGCTCCCTGGGTTGCTGTGTACTGCCTGCACTCAGTGCTGACACAGAGCCTTTCACCAGATGCTGCCCTGTGCCTCTGTACCCAAAACCTAGCCCTTTGATGGTTTTTTTCTTTTTTTGGTGGTGGGAGCAAAGCCTATTTTTGACGAATACATGAAATGAATGGCTGTCTTACATCATAAGGCAGAAAAACCATACTGCTTATTAAAGACATTTCATAGTAGTCTTGAGATTGTGACTTAAAGTAGACACAATTTCAAGCTGATGTTCCTGACCATAAATGGAGGGCTTCCCTCCACGTTCATTCATACCTCCCTGAGCTAACCCATTGCTTGCCTGGCTGGGCATTCTGGTTGGCAGCCCTGCCAGGCTAAGTGATTGAAGAGCAACGGTGGGACTCTTAGGTACACATTTTTTGGTCTATGGCATTTTTTTTTTTAACTTCTAGTCCATTTTTCTGGGGAGCTGGAGTATTTTCAAGCTCCATGCTTCTTACCTCCCCCCCCCCCCCAATTTGCTTGTGCTCCTACATTGCTAATAGTGTGCAGTATTAAGGGTGTTTGGGGAAATTTCTCTCTAGCATTTGGAAATTGAAGAACTGACTTTCCAAATGTGCAGAGTGGCTGGGAATAAAGGAGGGATCACATTGTACAGTCACGGGGGCCAGCATATGAATTAAAAACCAGGAGCTCAGTACTCTCAG